GACAATGAGACTGTCACAGGTCGGCTCGGTAGATTGGGAGGTGAGAGAACACATACCGGCGTTCGCTCACTTCTCGATCCTGTGGCGGCAGAGAGCCGTGACAGGGGGAGGGGCTGGATTCCCCCCTCCCCGCTCCGATCCTCCTGCGCTGACTGGGGGAGGGGGCGGGTACAGCTGGCTCTGTCTCTAGATAGGCAGAGCCAGCTGTCACTCACGCACCTGGGCGGATCCAGACATAATTGTCGGGATCCGTTTCAGCTGCGGCGTCTCGGTATACCGCGAGCTGCAGCTCCCTATATACTGAGCCTAGGGTGACGGGAGGACGCTAGTTTGTGTCCTCCCGTTACCCTACGGAGAACTATGGGGAAAAGCCCTGACCTCATAGTTCTCCTTTTAAGTTTTTTTTTCTTGTCCCCACCGCACTACATTAAAATAAGAGTGTCCATTGTGTAGATTCCTGTTGGCATGCACTGATGACATTTGTATCCTTCCACTCTTGCAGATGGCAATTGGTATCGCGGGCAGGTGAAGGATTGCACCTCTGGTGGTGCAGCTACGGTACACTTTTTGGATTATGGAAACACAGAAGAAGTACCGGTGGACAAACTCTGCAAAATCCCCTCCACTTTTCTGGAACTTCCTTTCCAAGCCATTAAATGCAGTTTGGCAGGTGAGTCATCTGTGCCAGTTTCATGATTTTGAATAAGTGGATTGACTTTTAATAGCCAACATTGAGGAACCTCCTTTTTAAAGTATTAACCGTCCAGCCCACACACAGCTCTGCTTGGGCTTTGTAGGCTTTCTTTGGCCAAGAGGTAATTTTTAGCTGTCAGTCATCACTGCTGATTACTGAGCCTGGCTGTCAGAGTGATGGGTCAGTAGTCCTCTTTACCAGGACTGTCAATTTGCCTTGTAGTGTTCCCTGGGTTTCAGGGTTCCTGTGGGACTCATAAGGATGTTCCAAGTTACACCTCCAGGTTCCTCAACTCACATCACACTGATAGTTTAAAGGAGAACTGGGAGGGGGGG